CAATTTGAACTACAGTAGCTCGTCTGTTGGATCGGACCACATCAAAAAGTACCAAACACTGACTGTTTGTCAGGATGTGCTAGTGAGTAGATGAATTTAAGAAATGAGAATGAAGCAGTGTCAAGCATCTGCACTCATGAAAAGGTCATTTCAGACTCTGAGAACTGAAATATGTCAAGAACATGACTTCCAGAAGCTGTAAATATTATGTAAAAGTTTGGACACTGGTCATTTTTTATTGGAGATGAAGAGTCAAGGAAATCTTTTTTAATTATTTTAAACATTATGAGTTGACCATCATAAATGTAATATTGCATAATGTATAACTGGATACTTTGTCAGTGCACCTGGTTGATTCAATATTTGTTAGTTTTATATGAACAATAGCAGTCCCAAAATCAGAGTTTAAAAATGATAACATACATAACTTTGTATATTATTTTATTGAGGCTCTGATAGAGATGTGTGTGCCAATTTAGTGTCCCATAAGTCTATATGACAACATTTTGATCCATCTTCCTTCAATCTGCCTTAACTGATATGCCAGCATATATTAAAAATATACAGAACATATGAATGTCAGTAGACATCAGGGAGTTGGGTTTCAAAAGTTGTGTTAAATTACTGGCACATAGGCTGAATTGTTTCTTTAAAGATTGCTCTGTTTCTAGATGAGTGTTACAGAGAGTGTGATTCACATTTACAGTTTCTTATTTTTCTTATCATACTGAAACATGCAAACATGTTCTGAGCCAATTGTTTTTTTCTTGGACTGATGACGCAGCACAAAATCCAGCAGGTGATTAACCCCTTAACTGCTAAAATTAAACTCAAACGGTTCATGAATTATATTCTAATGTTCATTAGCCCACACAGCCCACGACTCTAAAGTGAAATCAGTAATTGGAAACAGACCTCTGTTGATGCTCAGGTGAGTGTCTACTGTACAGATCAGATTTGGACTGAGAGCTTTTCATTATCACTGGAGATTCACCACTGTCCTGTAGATGAACACAATAACAATCATACAGATATTTTAAATATTACAACTGTTAAATAATATTAAAATGTTTGTTGTTTTGTTTTTTGATGATTGACAGTTGAGGAAGAGGATGTGCCTGCTTCAGTGGGCAGCCACTAGGAGACTGCTTAAAGGGTGTGGATGAAAGGTTGGTATGTGTCCAAACTGCTGAGGCTGGTATTTTATTAGTCAAATGACTGTAGAGACAGACTGAGGACACATCAGGAGACCTTTACCAGGTAAGAGAGAGACAACATGTATGTGTGGGTGTATAAGAGACAGAGGCAAGTTTATTTATTTATCATATATATATATATGGATTTAAAGGTAAGCAGAGGGGTCAGATGGTCACAGAGCCAGATACAGACTGTGGTCCTGAAGCACTGTGATATTTTATAGACAAGCAGCACACTTCCACAAAAAATGATCGATTACAATATTGTCATCATCTGAAATCCAACAATCCAATCATTTTGCTGGATTCATTTTTGTAAGTGTGGAGGAAACTGGTTTGGAAGATAGAAATGCTTAAATCCAGCAGCTGGAAATATTCCATTAATTTGATTTTGATAAACAAAACTGGATGTTTATTGTTGTCATTTTTAATTGCTGGGAAGGAAAGAATCAATTACCAATTTTGTAGGGAGTAACAGTAAAGTAATATAACTAGTAGTGTAACTAAGTATTAACAACAGTACCAAAGAGCTCTGACTAAACTTTAAAAAGTGTGCAGCACCTATTTACTACGATGAACGCAGTGTCGGCCTACTGTGTGATAGAATTATTGATGTAAATCTACTTAAAACATCAGCAGATAAAGATGAGAGCAACTTAAAACAACACGCATTGTGTGCAGCTGTTTGAAATGGAGAAATGCTGCTGAAAGAAAACTGATGCTTTCTGTCCTTTGGTCTGAAATAAGATTCTTATTTAGTTAGACTTCTGACAGTGTGTTTTAAATGTTGACTCATAATCAACATTTGAATCAAAGATTTCAGATTTAAATAAACAGAATGAGGAAGAGTTAGATCTGCCTTTGTGACTGGTTAGAGCAACATCAGTTACCTCAAGTTAGAGTATGAAAAATGTCTTTTTACACACACCATGGGACGTGATTGAGGACATATATTATTAGCACATACATAAGATTATTTAAACCTAACCTTTAAACCACAAACTACAGCTGGGAGGGTTGTTATGTTTGTATGACAGAGACCAGATGAAGCCTGTTCAACTGGCTGTGCCTCGACTCTTATTCTATTTTTAGTGGCTCCTTTGTCCTTCATTAATTTACTTCAGGTAAAGGGTGGACCTATTCCCTGAACTGAGTAGAATTTGTGCCAAAAAACTGTAATCGAAGGCAAAAAATCATCAATTTTGGAAATCCCAAACAACTGTCAGTATTCTTAAATGAGAATCTACCATCTTTTTCTCAAAGTTAATTGATCTGTGATCTTACAAACAAATCACTTTAAAGAAATACAACACTGAGCTGAAGCCAAACTACCAAAATGTTACTTAAACCACACCTTAAAAACCTGTTGAACACCGAGGATGTGCTTCACTGTTACAAATACAACAGTCTGATTTTAGTGAAACCGAGTAAGATTATGTAATTTGATTTGGAACAAAGGGGGCTCAAAAATAACAATTCGATTACAGTTTGAAATTCTTGATGGCAGACAGATTCTCTTTGAGTCTAACTTGAAGAAACTGACTTCCTTTCTAGTTGTGAATCCATTTCAGATGTAAAAGAAAGTGTGAGCTGTGATTTACTTGCTGATCTGACAAAACAGGAACCCGTCCACTGCTGACTTGGAGGTCAGACCTCCTGGTAAGTGTAAATGTTTGATAAATATAAATGGGCCTCAATCGATGTTAGAACATTAAATTGACACCTATTTCATTGTTGTTGTTTTTTGCAGGGCTGAAATCTATCATGGAAGCTTCAAGAAACCCTTTCAGCAGCTGTGAGTGAATTCATTACACATGGTTATCATCATATACTGCACACAAAGATCTATAAGATTAATTTGTGTGTTTTTTCTTTAATAGTGTTCAAACGAAACCCATCAAACAACCCATCACCAGAGGACAGAAAAATGATCCAATGTAAGTAAAGATTGTTCCATGCAGTCCATAACATGACATAAGATGCCTTCATTCACAGTTCTGAATCACGAAGAATGTCAATAACCACATTGTAATACTATGATTATACACTGATCAGCCATAACATTAAGACCACCTGGGCTCCATGACTGGTCCCAGACCAACAAACTGTGATGCACTGTGTGTTCTGACCCCTTTCTATCAGAACCAGCATTAGCTGTTTCAGCAGTTTGAGCTACAGTAGCTCGTCTGTTGGATCGGACCACACAGGACAGTCTTAGCTCCCCAGCTGCATCAATGAGCCTCCCCCCATGACCCTGTCTCTGGTTCTGTTCCTTCCATGGACCACTTTTGATAGGTACTGACCTCTGCAGACCGGGAACACCCCAGAAGAGCTGCAGGTTTGTAGATGCCCTTGTCAAAGTGGCTCACATCCTCATGCTGCCCATTTTTCCTACTTCTAACACATCAACTCAGTCAACGACTGAGAGAGAGACCCCCCCCAGTCAATGTTATTCACTTCACTTGTCAATGGTCATAATGTTATGGCTGATTGGTGTATTACGTTATCATTGTGCAAATGTATATTGCCTGTGATATATCTCAAGAGTGGAAAATAATCCTAATAGTACTGTCATAATGCTAATGAGTATCACATTGCCCAGTAAGACACAATATTAGACAGAAAGAAGACTAAAAACTGTTTCTAACTACAATAGTGTAGTTATTTTATCTGCACATCTAGCTGACAGTTGGTAATTGGGTGCTGTTGGCCACAGTTTATTTGGTGTGTTCAGAAACACTGGGAGATTAAACAATATTATGTTTATATTTTATGTTTTTTCATTAGATGTGCTTTAGTTAGTTGACAAAATTGACAAAATTCTACTTGAATTGGCTCCAGCTGAAACTTTTCAGTAATTGTCTTATCAGTTCAAATGTTTTAATCAGCTTTCGTGTCACCTCTAGTTTCTTCACAGTCAGATTATTTTGTTAGGGCACCAAACTGAGTTTATTTCCAGTGAATAAGTCTTTCTATGTTGTATTACAGCATCTGCCTTCAGAGTTGTGCTGTTGGGGAACAGTGAAGATGTAAAGACAACACTTGGCAACTTCATCCTTGGAAACCAATATTTTGATTTCCCAAATCAAAGATTTCATAAACAAGTCAAAGACTTTGTGGCCATCTGTGGAGAGTGGAAAGAAAACTGTGTAAAGGTAGTAAAAAGTCCAGACATGTTCAATTTGTCTGAGGAGGCAGTGAAACAACAGATGAGGAGGTGCATTAGTCTTTGTCCTCCTGGACCAAATGTTCTTCTGCTGTTAGTGAAACCTTCTGATTTCACTGAGGAGAACAGACAAACACTGAAGTTCATCCTGAGTTTGTTTGGTCAAGATGCTTTAAAACACTCAATGGTCATCATGACACATGAGGGGAATGAAATGAGTTTCTCTGTTAATGAACTCCTTAAAGACTGTGGAAGAAGACACTACAGCATGTGTAAAAATGACCGCACATTGTTAATGGAGAAGATTGAGAACATTGTGCATGAAAACAAAAGAACCTTCCTCACCTTCACTGAAGAGACCATAAAACCAAAGTCTGAACTCATCAAACCAGCTTTAAACCTGGTTCTGTGTGGGAGGAGAGGAGCAGGGAGGACTTCAGCAGCCGAAGCCATTTTAGGTCAGTCAGAGCTACGTTCACACGGTGTTAGACATCGGGCAGAGATGTGTGGACGTTTGATTTCCCTGGTGCAGCTGCCTGCCTTGTATGGAAAACCTCAGGAGACCGTGATGGAGGAATCACTCATGAGTATCTCCCTCTGTAATTCTAAGGGTGTCCATGCCTTCATACTGGTCCTACCTGTGGGTCCCCTCACTGATGAAGACAAGGGAGAGTTAGAGACCATTCAGAACACATTCAGCTCTCGGGTTAATGACTTCACCATCATTCTGTTCCCTGTGGAATCAGATCCTACAAGTTTTCTTAACTTTGTCAGAAGTGACAGAGACATCCAGAAGCTCTGTCAGAGCTGTGGAGGAAGATATGTTGTTCTCAACACCAACGACAAGGAGCAGATTACTGAGATTTTGGATTTGGTGGATCAAATGAGACCCAAGGACAAACCTTGCTGTTACACAACAGAAACATTTGCGCATGCCCAAATAGAAAAGATCAACATGCAAGAAGCTGAACTTCAGGCGCTGAAAAGGGGTATTACAACTTGTAAGTATGTGTAACGTTCTTATACCTCTAGACTAACTCAGTGGGATTCCCACAGGGTCCATGAGAGGGTTCCAGAGGGTCCACAGCAAAAGGGGAATTATTTATTTTCACTAGAATTACATCCATAAATTACACAGTGAGTGTATGATTACTGTATTTTGATCCTGGGTTTTATAAACTTCCTGTAATAAAACATCTGGAAGCAAACGATCTGATGGGGAACCCTGGGACAAATAACTAACATCAGCAAGCATTTTGAACCATTGAGAAAAAGGCTTCAGCCTAGGTAAGATGTGGTGTTTTTTCAGACCACAGTCTGTTAGCATTCCTGGCCAGGGTTCAGCATGCTAGTGCCCCAGTGTTAAGATGAAGCCACGTGTTACGGCCATAAAGTAGTGAGCGCAACCTTGAACAATGTAGTAGCCTGTGCCCTCTACAGGGGCTGAAGGTGAGTGACTGGGCAGTTATGCGGAGATGGAAGGGCATGTATAACAGCAGCATGAACGTATGATATCGTGACTGCCAGCCCCTAACAATGACTGTGAGGAAATTATGACTGAGCTTGTATGAGAGGAGTGAATAGTCGTATAATAAGAGGAAAATCACTACAGGCCCTAACATACATGCAAAAGAACTTTGGCTCGAGCTTAATGTCTCCAGTACTGAATTGTCAATTATTTTGCAGGTTGTGACAAGAAGCAGAGCCCAGAGTGTCTCAGGATTGTGCTGATAGGGAAAACTGGCTGTGGAAAGAGCTCTTCAGGAAACACCATTCTAGGAAGAAAAGCGTTTAAAGCCAAATCAGCCCAAACATCAGTCACTAAACACTGTCAGAAAGAACAGAGTGAAGTCGATGGTCGTCAGGTGGTTGTGGTCGACACTCCTGGTCTGTTTGACAATAGTTTGTCTCATGAAGAGGTTCATGAGGAGATGGTGAAATGCATCAGTCTTCTGGCTCCAGGACCACATGTCTTCCTGTTGGTGTTACAAATTGGCAGATTTACACCAGAGGAGAAGGAGACATTAAAACTTATCAAGGAAGGATATGGGAAGAATTCTGAGAAGTTTACCATCATTCTTTTAACTGGAGGAGATTCACTGGAAGATGAGGAGCAGTCGATCGATGACTACATTTACAAAGACTCTGATGATTCCTTTAAGAAGCTGATCTCTGACTGTGGAGGAAGATACCATGTGTTTAATAACCGAGATAAACACAACTGCACACAGGTCAGTGAGCTGATAACCAAGATTGACACCATGGTGAAGGAAAATGGAGGCAGCTGCTACACTAATGAGCTGCTGCAAGAGGCCGAAGCTTCAATAAAGAAAGAAATGGAGAGAATCCTGAAGGAGAAGGAAGAAGAGATGGAGAGAGAGAGGGAGGAGCTTCAAAGAACATATGAGAAAGAAATGCAGGCGATGAAAAGCAGAATGGAAAAACAAAGAGCAGAAACTGAACAGGAGAGGAAACGGATGGACAGAAAACTTGAGGAATACATCAGCAAGGAACTTGACAGAAGAAAGAAAGAACAAGAAAGGAGAGAAGAAGAAAACAGACTGAGGAAAAGACAGGAAGAACAGCAGCGACAGGAGTGGAAACAAAAACAGGAAACATTGGAGGTAAAAATAAAACAAGAATCTGAATCAAAAGAAACCATTGATAGAAAGCTGATGGAGACTAGACAAGAGATGAAGGAAAAACAAGAGGCTTGGGAAAAAGAACGAAGAGACTGGTGGGAGAATCAAAGAATTGAGCAGCAACAGGAAGAACATGCAATGATAAAAGAACATGAGAAGGAAAAGGAAAGACATGAAATCAGAAAAGAAGAGGATAGAAACAGAAGAGAATGGGAGGAAAAGGAGCAAAAGGAGTTGGAGGAAAGGTTTGCGAAATCCCTGACGGATATGAAGACGTCGTATGAAGAACAAGCCAGAAAGAAAGCGGAGGAATTCAATGCATTTGGAGAGAGATGCAAAAAGGAGTTGAAAGAGCGTGAGGAGGAAATTAAAGCCAAAGATGAACAGTATGACATCTTAAAGGCGCTTTCAACTCAGAGTGAAGAACAAATTAAGAAAAAACATCAAGAAGAAATCAAAAACTTAGTGCAGTGTTTCGCCAAGAAAAGAAAAAATATGAAAAAAATCAGTGACTTACTGAAACAACAGGACCTAGAAATGACAAGTGTGGAAAGCCTGACGGAAAAGGAAAACCTGCAGAAAACACATGAAAAACAAACAAGTGATTTGATACAGGAACTTCTGAATGTCGAAACACCTTGTCCCATCTTATGAGGCGTTTTCATTTCTAGCCAAGGCGATGGCAGTCTGCCCACCACTTTGCTCTGGACTGAAATATCTTAACAACTATTGGTTGGATTGCTAATAATGTTTGTACAGACATTCATGGTTCCCAGCTAATATTACAATGCTAGCAAACTAAGAAGGTGAACAAGGTCACAGACAGAGGGTTCTTCTTGTACCAAAAAAAAATATAAAAAATCACAAATTAACCTCAACAGGCTTCACAATCTATACAGCATACAATACCCTCATTCCATATACCCTCACTTCTGATCTGAGGAACAACTCATTGACAGGGAAAAACTCAAAGAAACATCACGGAAGAGCAACTGAGGAGGGATCCACTTCCCAGGATGGACAGATATGCAAATGATTTCATGTGCACAGAATTACTGGTAGACTTGGTCAAAAATACCCTCTTGGATGCCTTCTACAGTGGCCCAGTCTACAAGAAAACATGGTAAAATGTAAGCAAACATAATAAAGTGGCTTCTAGGCTGTTCCCTTCAAGTGGAGAAAACACAACACAGTGCCATATAGGCCACCCTACTGTTTCATCATAAATACATCCCAACTTTCTGTGCACTGGTGCCCCACTGCATGCAGCCAGTGCCCTTTCTGTTGCTTTTGTCCCTCAGACAGCCTGAGTACAGAATAGACCAACATAGAAACATTACAGTGGGGCGTTCTGGTAGCTCACATGGTAGAGGTGGGGCTCCATGTGCCTCGCTGCAGTGGCCATTAGTTCAAATCCTACCTGTGGCCCTTTGCTGCATGTCATCCCCTCACTTAGAAGTTCTGAAGGGATATGAATCTGCAGGTGACCATAGCAACAGTACTGATGGTTCAGGCTGTGTTGACCCTTATCAAGAGTTAAACTGACTAAAAACTAACTTTAAACCATGGAGGAGGATGTTGCTCTTCCTGAGGTTTTTCAGTCTTCAAAATCTTTATGATGTATTGTTTTTGTTTTCTACTGTACTATTTGTTGGATATAATTTGCTTTTTTGTTTTATTTGTTCCTAATTATTAATGTAATTATTGACTGATTAAAACCAGACAACAGCTCAGTAAAGAAAGACTTCAGCAGCTGGAAGCTCTGTTTGGTCATTAGAGATGATCTTTGTTTTCTTTTGAATATGAGAAAGAAAATGATGTTTGTGAGTGAAATGAAATGTTTAGATGTCATTCACTCTGTTTTCTCTGCAACACCCAAATCACAAATATCACAGCAAATATTAAATATGAATCCAAGCTGAATATCATTTAAACTGCTCATCAGATGAATCAGAATGATAAAGAATGACTTTATAGACAATGAATGCTTTGATGTTTCTCTGTTTTGTTACATGTCCAATAAGAATAGACAGAATTCAGATGAATCTTTAATTGTATGTTCTGTGTTTGATCTTTGGTTTCTGTGTTTATCATTATGAAAGATGAATAAAGTGTTTCCCTGTAGTTCACTGTGACTCTTGTTAAATGCTGAAGTCAAACAGACTCTTCTGCTCTGCACCTCTCTTGTGTGTTTGCATGTCAGTGTCTAGCAGATGGAGCTCCACCTTCAGGTGTCATATACCTGTTGGAAGTCTGTTGGTATCTGAGTAATAATGAACTCTTTATTTTGCCCACCACAGTTAATGTTAATGCCTGTATCATCTGAAATATGTCATAGAGTAGACCAACATGTACGTTGTATAAAGATATTGTACAATATCGTATAATGATGTAAAACATGGACACACTTTATCAGCTACACCTGCCTGGTTCAATGTTTGGACTTTTATTTCCAGAACAGTAAAAATAATAATTAAAAATATATTTTTCGATTTTTAATCAGGTCGATACGCCCATATAACCAGAGGAGCATAAAGACATTTAATTTCACTGATAATAGAGTTTTAATGGTATTTGTGTAATAAAGAGAGACAACCTACACACTGACTTTAATGTGACAACATTTAGATCCTGTGTGAATCTTCCTCGGCTCAGTCTGTCAACATTTAATGTTAAAGTGTCACAGTCTACATTTTAGATAAGAGGAAGAACAGAAAGTATTTTACCTGACATTTTGTTTCCTCAATACACACCCTGTTCAGATATTTCAGTACTGAATACATACTGTGTGAATATGAGTTCAACTCAGAGACAAATGTTTGAAGAGATACTCATTTATCAGAGCTTTTTATTCTCAATTGTTTCTATTAGACTTTGACAAAGATATGTTTACTGTTTCATTAACATTTATATTAAAGCTGCCATTTCAGATTTCACAGGTTAAACAGAACCAGAAAGAGGAGTTATATCACTTTAATTAACATTACAATAAAGTCAAAGTTAACTCAGAGGTTTCCATTTGTATTTTCAACCCAGGCTGCAGATTGTATATGTTTATATTAAGTCCTAATTTTAGAAAAATCTTACAGAAAACAGGTTAGTTCACACAAACAAAGACATACACACACATACAGGTTTTTATGCACTACGACAGGGGTCATCAACTGTATTTGTCTAAGGGCCAGAATTTTTCTCTGCGGACACTGTAAGGGCCAGATGATCGTAAAATAAAATAAAATTAGTATAATAATTAGTTAGTAATTAGTAATATAATTTGTATTGTAATATTATTATCTTCTATAATATTATAAAATATTACGGCCAAGTGTTTACAAAAGACATAAAGGAAATGGTATCTTTTTATTCTCCTCTCCAAAACTTAGCCAACTTTCTTCTTCTTCTTCTTCTTCTTCATGACTTCCGGGTCTGGTCCCACAGGACTGGTCCATCCCTCAGGTCGGGTCCCCTTAGTGGCCTGGCGCACTTCCGTTTTGAGAAATGAATTTGCAGCATTTCTCTCACAGTTGTTTTGGGTTTTGTAAGTTTTTGGTTTTGCACATTCCCGCTTTTGCAGCGTTTTGCCGTTTGCGGCGCGTTTGCCCTTGTCGGCCACCGTACATATTACCTGTACTGCAGAAAGCCCCTAGGGGGTGATAGCGATATTTTAGGCTTCATATTTATGAGGCTGTCAAGCTATGGAATTAGATTTGTGCCAAAAGAAACAAACAAAAATAGGAATTTGAGAGAACTTAAAACTAATTTCAAAAATAAAACTTATAACTTGCAATCAAATAATTTGTCAAATAGTGTAAAATATTGCTCCAGAATCCTGTTTTCCTACCTTTCCCTTTGCAATAATTCCTGCCAAATTCCTGGTAAAGATTTTAGATTAAACTTCCTTGAGACAAAACTTTAAAGAGAGTACAGTGCTTTGCAAATTAATTCAAGTGTACCTCAACATCTGGCTCAGTCACAGGTGTTTGGAGCATCCCAATGTGCCAAAGCTGCCCTGGGGAGAGGTTTCCTTCAGTTCTGATAGGATGATTGTTCCAGCTACCCAGAAAGCACTCCAGGTCAGACTTCAGGTGTGGGAGAAACACATAATGCACACAAAAGAGGTGCATCTCATCTGACAGGTCAATCAGTCGCTCTTCTTCCATTGTATGAAGTATATCATAGTATTTGCAGGTGACCGCTGACCACACGTCACGCCACAGCCTCTCTATTCTGAGGAGAATTTAAAATGTATATAATTAAAACTTGCTGCACAAGCATGCCGACAACAATTCAAGCACAGTACACAGGTCGCGTTCTGCTCTGATAGTAGTGGCTTTTACCTTTGATTGTGGACACTTTTTCCAGCAATGAAGCTACCACGTCCTGTTCCTCGCACAGAGAACATGCATCGGGCAATGTCCACATTTTCCACCCACTGGTCACCACGTACTCTAAAAGAATGTAAGCAGTCATCATTCAACATGCTGGGGTGGGGCCCAGGTATTAGCCAATAGTGAAGCCCATTAGAGGGTGCAACCCCCACAATTTACAGAAAAGAACAATGGCTTTTTGCTTAGGAAGTTTCCCAAATTCAGTGAGATGATGTGGAAATAACTCACTGTCAGCCATGTTCAAATTCTCTAAAAGCTGATGAAAGGAGCTTCCTAACTTATCTCTTTCAGCAGAGAATACACTGTCCCTTCCTTACAACATCTAATTATTCTATATTATTAAACCATGTAAACCTTTCACTCCAGTCTTCAATTATACGTCTGCACTTTGTAGTTTGTCTCTGTATTTATCATCCATGTCATGTATTCTCATTTACAACTTTGACCTCATGGCGTTGTCTATCAGATCAGGGAAAAGTAATTAGGAAGGAAAATTATTTTTACTATTTGCAGCCAATGACTTTTTAGCAGCACTTTGAATTAGATGTACTTCCTACCTTGAGGGCCATCCATGTTTCCAGACACCATCCAAGAAGAAGGAGAATGCAGCTGAGGCTTTGTTGTTGGCAGCAGCATCACGATACAGGATCTATGCAGAGAGGATTGGGGGAACAGAATTCTTTATCATAAGGTCTCATCACTGTGACATATGTTTTTAGTTTCTTTTGTCAGGCAGAACATTGACATCCCCTTCTGGAGAAGCCATCAATCCCACCAAATATCACGACATTAAATCTGAGAAAAAAAGTACATTACATTTGGCATGAAAAATCAGTGGATATCAGAAAGAAAAAAACAGTTGTCAGATGGATTACATGTTTTTATTGTGGAGAAATTACATCACATTTGTTTTTATTGTGGGTACATGCATATGTGTGTTCAGTGAAAGCAAAAAGATTTACAGTGAGAGACGGAGTGAGAGGACACAAGAGAGAAAAACTCACCAAATTAATTTATGGTTGGTGTCTATATGAACCAAAGACAGTGGTGCAGGAACACAGTAGGTTCTGCGAGCGACAAATCCAACCAGCTCCATCCACCCGTTGCATAGTAGCCTTCACCCTGTGCCATGGACACGGTAGCCTCTCGCTAACAGCTCACCTTTCACCAGTCTATACCCAGCATAGGGCATTCTTGATTTTATGGACCTCACAGCATGATCAAGTTCATCATCAGACATTTTGGAATAGCATCCAGAAACAGAAAGGCCATGTTCTTTCATCCGCCTATTAAGTGTTCTTCTTGAAACACCATACAACCTGGCTAACTGTTCTAAAGGAAGTGAAGAGGAAAGGAGACTTTTAAGATCATCTGCATGAATTTCCAGGCGTGGCCGTCCCACCTCTCCCACAGTGGCAGTTACACCATCTGACACGTTAACTGATGTTTCTGAAACAGATTGAATGGGCAAACTAAGGATGTTGATCAACTCCTGTAGACAGTGAATGAGTTCTGGTGGATGTTTAAGTGATCTGTTGCCATTGTTGCCGAGGAAAGCTCTTGTTGAGCCACATCCAGGAGGTACTCCATATCTAACGTCTCATTTCTGAGGATCAAGCTGAATCTTGCTTGAATCTTCTGCAACAGTTCCTTTCTTACTTGCTCCTGCAATCACAGACATCGCCAGATGTCAGAAGTACATAATGTCTATAGAACTGAACACATTTCATTACATTATACGAAAACACTTTCTCACAGACTGCACTATAATTGAAACGGGCCACGACCCTACATCCTATATGATTAATAATATAATGGTCCATGTATTAGGATTTAAGTTCAAAATAAAAACATCAATTGTCCCATTAACTTAAGTGTGATATTAGCTGGATCATAACATGTTGTAATAGATAGGTAGGTCATTTTTCTTTCTCTTCTTCTTTTCTGACAGGAAAGCTAAATTAAATCCCTCTTTCCTCTTTCATTACCGAAACCTTGCTTTACTGTACTTATAACTTATAACACACCTAAATGTTACTCACAGACAATATATGTAATGTATGTAATAAATACTTTTAAAAGTGTGAGTTTAGAGAGAGAAGCAGAGGGAACCGTAAACACAATAATGTCAATATTTTACACTATTTGACAAATTATTTGATTGCAAGTTATAAGTTTTATTTGTGAAATTAGTTTTATGTTCTCTCAAATTCTTATTTTTGTTTGTTTCTTTTGGCACAAATCTAATTCCATATCAAGCTGTCCATCACTGTCACATGCAGGTCGTAGTTTGAAGAAGAAAGGCTTTCTGAATATATTTGAATGAAAGTTGGCACTCTCTAAGAGCCTTAAGCGGAAAGTTGATGCAGAGAACCGCAGCTTTAATGAAGAATGGACTGATAAGTACGTATTCATAGTGCCAACTTTTAGAAATGCTGTACCTGTGTGCCTCATTTGTAACGAAACTGTCGCTAAAGAATACAATGTGAGGTGTCACTACAACACAAAGCATGCAAGCTTCAAGGAGTCCTGTCCTGAACAGTCCGAGAGAAGTTGCTGCTTTGAAATCTCAGTACTCCCATGCCAGCGGAATTATTAACCGAACCTCAACTGAACAAGAGAGGGCAACAAGTGCGTCTCTGCAGGCAGCCTGGGTACTCTCCAGGCACAACAAGCCCTTTACAGATGCTGAGGTTTTTAAGGAGTGCATGGTGGCTGTTCTGGAGCAACTTGCCACTGACAAATCTACAGACAGGATAATTCCGTCTGTCAAACAGATACCTGTCTGCTAAAACTGCTGTTCGCTGTGTCCATGTTTTCCCATTTGAACGCACTAAGTCTACAACTACAGGGGAAAGAAAAACCTGTGGTGAATATGGTGGAAAAACTTGATGCTTTTGGAAACAAACTTGATCTTTTCCACGAAGATTTGTTGTCGGGGAGGCTGCTACACTTTAGCACACTTAAGACAGTGGGTCACAGCAAGGTCACAGAGAACATGAAGACATTTATCACACAGCTGAGGGAAAATTTCTCTGCCAGATTTGATGACTTTTGCCATTTGCCATTTTACTTTATTTGTGTTTATTTGTTGGATCACAGGCTACTTTAATTTGATGTAAAGAGTAACATTTCTAATAACTGAGGCCTGTCGCTTTTATTTGTCATTAGAACTATTTGCTGATGTGCAAGGCTTGCAATCCCCATGTTCTTCTCTGTTATGTTGACAGTTGTTATTGAGACACCGCAATTATTCGCAAATCCCAGGCGAGGAAAATTTTGACATTTGTGAAAGAATGAGCACGTGAAACAATAAAAGATGTTAAATGAGAGCAACGAGTTTACCGTCATTTTTGATTGAAGGCAGGCTATGATGGCACAAGCTACTTTTCAGAAGGAGTGACCTGAACATTGCCACAACAGTGCTGACTTGGTTAGATATATGGAGCGAAGCCTGCAGTTCAGGCAGTCAACTCGAGCTGCGCTGATTACACACACATGACATGCCTTATTCTATAATCACTAACCAAGCGCTACCTTACAATCTGGCAGTCTATTTAAACTGCACAATTTCCCCTCTGCTCTGTCAATGCCGCTGCTGCTCTGTAAGCCCCACCACCACCCCAGCATCCACCTGTAGGCTCCGACTGGGGGTTAAGGTATTTGCGCATCACTCCCCGTAGATATGTTTACATAGAGATATTGGGGGAGTGATGCGCAAATACCTTAACCTCCAGTCGGATATCTAAATATGCTATACTGCTTAATAAATGTATAAACTGTAAACACTGACAGCAAGATGGTTCAATGATGGTTGTGAGCTGTGTGATAAACATTTGTGATCATATCTTTTTAATGTATTTAATATGTGTTTTTAATATCAATAACTAATAGACTCAAAGAATCAATAATAACATATCTGCTGTCCACTAAAGAGTCCCAGGAAGAAACAACTTGATACTGAAGAAGGGTTTAATACAGAAAGACATACAGGATGACAAGATAAACAGATACATTAGAGCTCAGAGGTGTTTCAGTTGTTGCCCAATTTATCTTCCTGTCTCTAAACCCCCGATTTAAAAGAAAAACTCTTTATTTTTGGGTCTGAGAGGGTGATTTTGTAAATTGTCAGATTTTATGAGTAGAATCTCGTTTTTATGTGATTTCCTCACAAAGCCAGAAACATAATGGAGAGTTTTCTGTCTGATTTATTGTTAAAGAATACAACAGCTGACATGAAGGAACATAAATGCACCTACAGCAGGCGGTATAAATAATGTGTGTTATTAATGTGCATCAGACTGTAATATACAGCATACTGTCAATGTTCAGACTACAACAGCACCCTCCTCCATACACTGCTCATAGGCTGACACCTGCTGGTGACTTTATGGAACTGCAGCTGACAGTTGGAGTGAAAATAAAGCACATTTTTATCACTTGAATATAAAAGCATGTTGACTGTCTACTGTACAGATCAGATTTGGACTGAGAGCTTTTCATTATCACTGTAGATTCACCACTGGCCTGTAGATGAACACAATAACAATCATACAGATATTTTAAATATTACAACTGTTAAATAATATTAAAATGTTTGTTGTTTTGCTTTTTGATGATTGACAGTTGAGGAAGAGGATGTGTCTGCTTCAGTGTGCAGCCACTAGGAGACTGCTTAAAGGGTGTGGATGAAAGGTTGGTATGTGTCCAAACTGCTGAGGCTGGTATTTTATTAGTCAAATGACTGTAGAGACAGAGAGGACACATCAGGAGACCTGTAGCAGGTAAGAGAGAGACAACATGTATGTGTGGGTGTATAAGAGACAGAGGCAAGTTTATTTATTTATCATATATATATATGGATTTAAAGGTAATCAGAGGGGTCAGATGGTCCAGAGACAGATAGAGACTGTGGTCCTGAAGCACTGAGAAATTATAATATATAATTATTATATAGACAAGCAGCACACTTCCACAAAAGATTATTGATTATAATATTGTTTGTCATCTGAAATCCAACAATCCAATCACTTCACTGGATTCATTTTTGTAAGTGTGGAGGAAACTGGTTTGGAAGATTGAAATGCTCAAATTCAGCAGCTGGAAATATTCCATTAATTTGATTTTAATAAACAAAACTGGATTTTTTATTTGTTATTATTATTTAATTTTCAATTGTCGGGGAAGAAAATAATCAATTTCCAATTTTGTAGGGAGTAACAGAACAGTAATATAACTAGTAGTGTAACTAATTAATGTTGGCAGGGAGTAATAAGTAAAGTAATGACATTTGAAAAGAGTAATCAGTAAAGAGTAATAAACTTGCTCAACCCATTCATTTATCTTAGGAATATTAACAACAGTACCAAAGAGCTCTGACTAAACTTTAAAAAGTGTGCAGCACCTATTTACTACGATGAACGCAGTGTCGGCCTACTGTGTAATAGAATTATTGATGTAAATCTACTTAAAACATCAGCAGATAAAGATGAGAGCAACTTAAAACAACACGCATTGTGTGCAGCTGTTTGAAATGGAGAAATGCTGCTGAAAGAAAACTGATGCTTTCTGTCCTTTGGTCTGAAATAAGATTCTTATTTAGTTAGACTTCTGACAAAGTGTGTCTTAAATGTTGACTCATAATCAACATTTGAATCAAAGATTTCAGATTTAAATAAACAGAATGAGGAAGAGTTAGATCTGCCTTTGTGACTGGTTAGAGCAACATCAGTTACCTCAAGTTAGAGTATGAAAAATGTCTTTTTACACACACCATGGGACGTGATTGAGGACATATATTATTAGCACATACATAAGATTATTTAAACCTAACCTTTAAACCACAAACTACAGCTGGGAGGGTTGTTATGTTTGTATGACAGAGACCAGATAAAGCCTGTTCAACTGGCTGTGCCTCGACTCTTATTCTATTTTTAGTGGCTCCTTTGTCCTTCATTAATTTACTTCAGGTAAAGGGTGGACCTATTCCCTGAACTGATTAGAATTTGTGCCAAGAAACTCCAATCGAAGGCAACAAAGTCATCAAATTTGGGAATCCTAAACAACTGTCAGTCTTCTTAAATGAGAATCTACCATCTTTTTCTCAAAGTTGATCTATCTGTGAGCTTACAAAAATTCACAACACTGAGCTGAAGGCAAACTACCAAAATGTTACTTAAACCACACGTGAAAAAGATTTGCAACATTGGTGGGGAATTTTGAAGTATTTAAATTATATTATTATATAGATTTGTCACAGTCCCAATGAAATGGTGCTCACACATTCACCTCTACACAAATATTCAGATGCTTTACACAATGAGATTGGCTATGAAGTTCACAGTGGCTCCACAAGATGGTGCCTGTGATAACCTGATAGTGGGGAAAATGATGTTACAGCCTGTAAGAACATTAATAAAAGATAAAGCAGCTGAGAGCATAAAGGGAAAATATAGCTGTGATGATAAAACACAAGATTAACAGTGGAATGATACATTTAACCTTTTTATCTTCTTATTTCATTACTCTGTATTATATATATATAAAAGTTAATCCATAAAGGACAATGGCAGTCTCAGTGTTCCTGCACTCAACATGCTGCCACCAACAACGTCCCCTTAAGACAGCAGCATAATCAGGATTTTCCACTTGAGTCTGGACCGACTGGTTGAACGACATGTTGATGACTGGGAGGCTCTGAATTCCTCTGGAGGAGTTTTTCTCACCATCTTTACTTTCACTTCTGTCTTTGACCGATGACAACCGACGGAACTTCAACTCAACTAAAGGTAACTTATAAATAAATGATCATTAGTTTTGTAAATCAATAGAAGTGATTTTTGCAGGATGCTGATTGGTCAGTACTGATGATGCAATCTGTTCTCAGGTGGAATGTAATTGATCCTCAGGTGAGTGTCAGATCAGACAGCTTCTTATTATCACAGTAAGTAGACTAACTGAGCTGGAAGTAGCCCAGTTTATTACCTTTAGAGGCACATGTCAATGAGGCAGCACAGATACTGTTATTGTCTGAAATAATGACTGAGATAAAAGTTACTCTTGATCACTTTTATATCCAATTTAAAGTCGCCATTTTAGATTCCAGTTGAACACCAGGAAGAGGAGTTACAGAACCACAATCCCAAAGTTGCATCAGACTGATGTTTACTGTAGTTTATTACCTTTCCAGGTGATAATGTTATTGGAGGAGCTCCACTATATTAGTTATTATTAAAGTTTTATTTATTATCTAGATCTCAGAGACCTCAGAACAAATATTATCACTCATTATATCAGCTACATTATAAAATGCATTACAAAGTTAAACCATAAATCTTACATTTTAGGGAGTTTTTCTTTCTCACAGGCTTTCACATTGTTGTCAGCTGTAATCAGAGGTTGCTAGTTTGAATCCCCACTGAGGTTGTGAAGCTGACTGACACTCTGCAGTTTGCTCTGTACAAACATTTTGCTGTGTGAATGAGTAAGATCATTTCAATTCTAATTCTTCTTCCTTCAGGTTGTTAAAGCAGCAGTTGGTCTTCAGTTGAATGAGTCTCTGATGTTTCCAGCACACTGACATCATGGCGGCTGCAGCACCAGGTGAGTCCAGTCACACTTTATTAGTCTGGATAAAACACTGTCTTCTCTCTCTGTCCACATATTATAAATATAAGAAAAGCACAGCAGTCCTCAGACCTTAAATCCAGTCTGTGAGTCTGAATTCAACTCAGCTGATTGTTCATTTTAATGGAACACAGCAGGAAATATGAGAACCACTATAAACTGTAGCTCAGTGACAGACAGACAGACAGACAGACAGACAGACAGACAGACAGACAGACAGACAGCTCACAGATGGACCAGTCTGTGCTGCTGTTTGTTGTTTTGTGTTCTTTGTCAAAGGGTGCAGAGCCCACAGAGTCCCACTAGGTGGCGATAAAACATCAAAATTTAGCTCCTCATATGTTTTCAGTCAGTGTTTAATCTGCACAATTTCTCTGGAATGAGGAGATTTACTGACACACTGGGACTAAAGCTTCTAGAAACTTTTTAGGTCGAAGGGTCGAGACGCCATTTTAGAGATTATGGAAGGAGGACGGGGGAGAGCTGCTCGGATATATTGTTTCAGCTGTAATAATAATAAAAAATACAAAAATACAAAAATAAAAATAATAATAATAATAATAATAATAATAATAATAATAATAATAAGAAGAAGAAGAAGAAGAAGAAGAAGAAGAATTCAATTCAATTCAATTCAATTTTATTTGTATAGCGCCAATTCATAACAGAAGTTATCTCAGGACACTTTTCAAATAGAGCAGGTCTAGACCGAACTCTTTAAAACATTAATTACAGAGACCCAACAGTACCACCATGAGCAAGACCTTGGAGACAAGGGCAAGGAAACACTGCCTGTTAAAAGGCAGAAACCTAGGACAGATCCTCCGGCTCTAGGTGGGTGGTCGTCTGTCTCGACCAGTTGGGGTGAGAGAGAGAGAGAGAGAGAGAGAGAGAGAGAGAGAGAGAGCGACAGACAGACAGACAGACAGACAGGTGCATAGCAACAACAGTATTGGCAACGACAATTTAGCAGGACCATGGCAGGAGGCTCCACCAGGATCGATAAGAACCTGCGAGACGAGAAAGCACAAGAACTCCGGGGAAGAAGTGAAGTTAGTAACATGCATTAATGGAACATGAATGAGTGCAGAAAGAGAGAGGAAGAGAGGAGCTCAGTGCACCATGGGAAATCCCCCGATAGTCTAGGCCTATAGCAGCATAACTAAGGGATGGTTCAGGACTCACCTGATCCAGCCCTAACTATAAGCTTTATCAAAGAGGAATGTCTTAAGCCTACTCTTGAATGTGGAGAGGGTGTCTGCCTCCAGAACCACAACTGGAAGCTGGTTCCACAAGAGAGGAGCAAAGAAGAAGAATACATATATTTTAAAGACACATGGCCTCTGATTTTAGTTTTGTTCTGTATGCCTAAGTTTGAAAAGTTCTTCATAAGAGGAATGTAAAGAGGAAATGTACGAGACAATAAACAGGAGAAGCAACATAAAAAAAAAACAGGTTGAGCAGTAAAACAGAGAGAAGGGCGGTTGATAGATAAATAGATAGTTATGAGTTTTGAAAGAAGGGGAGTGAGGGAGAATCACAGTAAAGGTACAATGCTGAAGACATACAGGATTGTAATATGTAACATGAGACAGCATCAGACTACATAAGACAAGTTAACAAACAAGATCATTGAACATTTTATGATCTTCTCTCTTCAGGTTTGTAAAGCCAGCAGTTGGTCTCCAGTCAGTCCCTGAAGTTTCCAACAGAGAGACATTATGGGGAGTTTAATCTCCACTCCATCAGGTAAGAGTCTGTATAACACTGTCTGCTCTCACTGTCCTCATATTACACACATCATAAATCATCTGTCTTCTTCCTGTGTTTGTGACAAACTGCTGAGCAATGGTTGTGTATGAAGCACAGCAGTTTCCACCAAATGCAGCTGTTTGGAGCTCATTAATATTTACATTTAGTCTGAGTCTCCGTTTAAAATATTTGTTGGGGGCTGTTTCCCTTTATAAGATAGGACAGAGAGAGAGACAGGATGACACACAGCAAAGGGCCACAGGTCGGATTTAAACCCAAAAATATCTTCAATAAAAACCTGTTACTGACAAAGACAATCATGTATATTAGATTGCAATGTGATATATTGACATCAGCCATCAGTTGACCTGCTCTATCAGTCCACCACTAAATCATATTCCATAGCAGTGTGTCACAGAAAGCACTTGTGTTGCTTCCCTGTTTCTGTCTCCCACAAAATATCTGCTGAAAGAATCAAAAAGATTCACATCTTTGCTCTGAAGGCAGCAAGTTGCTCTTCTTCTCCTTGTTTAGTTTTTTCATTGAGTACAGACAGCACTGGTACGGAGGTGTGTCCTCCAGATGTTGATACAGATGCTAGTATAATGGACTTGGTTCAGGCAGAGTAGATAATAATTGGATCAGTCTATTAAGGCTGTGAAAATGTGAATGCTGGTTGTGGACACCAACAATCACTGTAATGAGCAGCATCTTCATTGTCCATTTTCGGTTTTGAATACAAAAAACAAAAATGTCAACTCATGGATTTTATCTTGGGACAAACAAAGATGGCTGTTTCTGTCAGCAGGAAGAGAGGAACTGATGACTCAGCAGATATTGATGTAATATTGCTGTTTACCAGAATGGTGAAAGCCAGAATAATGTTTGATTTGAATTATTACAAAGAAATGAGGGATGTGGATCAGTTCAGTGTGAAATGGGTTCATGGTGATGCTCTGTAAAAGAAAACCAACTCATTCTTTCTGTGGAGTTGATGTCATTTGTTGATTTGGTGGAGTATTTACTTCTCTGTATTTCGAAGATGAAGATTTTTCACTGTAATAAGCAGATTGTTACAGATTACACAGAAAGAATGAATGAATATCTACATTTTCTCTCTCCTTACAGATCCACATGAGCAACCTGTGAAGCGCAGCAGCAGCTTAGACTGGCTGCCTCCTTCCAGTAAGTTAAAGTGAACTGAGTCAGAAATATTCTCGTCTATATGAACATCTGGAATTACAGAGTTTTGTAGGTGGTGGGTACAAACTCACATTTTATTTCATTTTATTTTATTTTATATTTATAAAGTCCACCTTAAAGAAGCTGTGCCTTCCTCACTGGATCCAGTTTTACTGTGTTCAACATGGATCCAGTCGACACTTACTGTGTTTTCTAATTCACTGTTTTCTTTTCAGTGTCTGAGCTGAGGGTTGTTCTGCTGGGGAACAGCTGGTCTGAGAGGAGTTCAGTGGGGAACTTCATACTGGGAGAGACTAAGTTCAACACTGAGGAAGAACCAGACTCCTTCCTGAGAGAAAGAGTGCAGTTGAAGGGGAAAGAAGTAGTTCTCATCAATACCTCAGATCTGCTGCATCCCCAGACCATCCAAGAGTCAGAATTAATCTCTGGTCTTGGACCTCATGTGTTCCTGCTGGTTCTACAGCCTGAAGACTTCACTGAGGAACACAAACTGAAGCTCTGCAGATTCCTTCAGCTCTTCAATGATCGATCATTTCATCATTGTCTGGTTCTGATATCAACACCCAGAGAGGAGAGTCCAGGTTTCATGGAAAAATACCTGGAACATCCTCCCTTAAAAGACATGATCAAAGAGTGTCAGTACAGGTTTTTGTGTCAGAAGAATCTTGAACTTCCAGAGCTGTTAACACGCTTGGGTCAAATTGTGAAAGAGAACAATGGAGAGCATCTGAGCAACAGCAACATCAATGAACTATTGGAGTCTACCAGTAAGTTAAAGTGAAGTCAGAAATATTCTCTTCTACATTAACATCTGGAATTACAGAGTTTTGTAGGTGGTGGATACAAACTCACATTTTATTTCATTTTATCTTCAAGCTCACTGCTGAATTTGCAAGTTTCATGTTAATAGTGGATGACAGAATCTCTAAAGTCCACCTTAAATAAACTGTGAATGTTTTATTAATTTCAAATCAGAGTTTTCTTGTGCTCTCTCTTTCTCTCTCTCTCTCTCTCTCTCTCTCTCTCTCTCTCTCTCTCTGTCTGTCTCTCTTCGTCATTCATTCTCTACCGAGGTAGTGAGACTTTTAATTAGGGCGGCTCGATTTGAGCAAATATCTTAATCACCATTATTACACACGATTATTAGGAGTGGATTGACTTGCTGCAAGCTCTCATCTGCTTTGGCTCTCTTCTAAAACTGTTTGTATGAGATTTGGGGTCCGTCCCCTTCTGCTCTCCCAACATATAGAAGTTCACTCTGTATGAGAGAGTGTGTGTGTGTGTGTGTGTGTTCCAGTAATTGATACAAACTATTTATAGCAACATGTTACGTGTGGTGTGTGTGTGTGTGTGTGTGTGTAGTAGCTTACCTGTTAGAGTGCGTGCCACATGTAAGCTGAGTCTCCGTTTAAAATATTTGTTGGGGGCTGTTTCCCTTTATAAGATAGGACAGAGAGAGAGACAGGATGACACACAGCAAAGGGCCCCAGGTCGGATTTGAACCCAAAAATATCTTCAATAAAAACCTGTTACTGACAAAGACAATCATGTATATTAGATTGCAATGTGATATATTGACATCAGCCATCAGTTGACCTGCTCTATCAGTCCACCACTAAATCATATTCCATAGCAGTGTGTCACAGAAAGCACTTGTGTTGCTTCCCTGTTTCTGTCTCCCACAAAATATCTGCTGAAAGAATCAAAAAGATTCACATCTTTGCTCTGAAGGCAGCAAGTTGCTCTTCTTCACCTTGTTTAGTTTTTTTCATTGAGTACAGACAGCACTGGTACGGAGGTGTGTCCTCCAGATGTTGATACAGATGCTAGTATAATGGACTTGGTTCAGGCAGAGTAGATAATAATTGGATCAGTCTATTAAGGCTGTGAAAGCGTGAATGCTGGTTGTGGACACCAACAATCACTGTAATGAGCAGCATCTTCATTGTCCATTTTCGGTTTTAAATACAAAAAACAAAAATGTCAACTCATGGATTTTATCTTGGGACAAACAAAGATGGCTGTTTCTGTCAGCAGGAAGAGAGGAACTGATGACTCAGCAGATATTGATGTAATATTGCTGTTTACCAGAATGGTGAAAGCCAGAATAATGTTTGATTTGAATTATTACAAAGAAATGAGGGATGTGGATCAGTTCAGTGTGAAATGGGTTCATGGTGATGCTCTGTAAAAGAAAACCAACTCATTCTTTCTGTGGAGTTGATGTCATTTGTTGATTTGGTGGAGTATTTACTTGTCTATGTTTTGAAGATGAAAATTTTTCACTGTAATAAGCAAATTATTACAGATTACACAGAAAGAATTAATGAATATCTATATTTTCTCTCTCCTTACAGATCCACATGAGCAACCTCTGAAGCGCAGCAGCAGCTTTCCATTACTGCCTCCTTTCAGTAAGTTAAAGTGAACTGAGTCAGAAATATCCTCGTCTATATGAACATCTGGAATTACAGACTCACATTTTATTTCATTTTATTTTATTTTATATTTATAAAGTCCACCTTAAAGAAGCTGTTCCTTCCTCACTGGATCCAGTTTTACTGTGTTCAACATGGATGCAGTCGACACTTACTGTGTTTTCTAATTCACTGTTTTCTTTTCAGTGTCTGAGCTGAGGGTTGTTCTGCTGGGGAACAGCTGGTCTGAGAGGAGTTCGGTGGGGAACTTCATACTGGGAGAGACTAAGTTCAACACTGAGGAAGAACCAGACTGCTTCCTGAGAGAAAGAGTGCAGTTGAAGGGGAAAGAAGTAGTTCTCATCAATACCTCAGATCTGCTGCATCCCCAGACCATCCAAGAGTCAGAATTAATCTCTGGTCCTGGACCTCATGTGTTCCTGCTGGTTCTACAGCCTGAAGACTTCACTGAGGAACACAAACTGAAGCTCTGCAGATTCCTTCAGCTCTTCAATGATCGATCATTTCATCATTGTCTGGTTCTGATATCAACACCCAGAGAGGAGAGTCCAGTTTTCATGGAGAAATACCTGGAACATCCTCCCTTAAAAGACATGATCAAAGAGTGTCAGTACAGGTTTTTGTGGCAGAAGAATCTGGAACTTCCAGAGCTGTTAACACGCTTGGGTCAAATTGTGAAAGAGAACAATGGAGAGCATCTGAGCAACAGCAACATCGCTGAACTATTGGAGTCTACCAGTAAGTTAAAGTGAGTCAGAAATCTTCTCGTCTATATTAACATCTGGAATTACAGAGTTTTGTAGGTGGTGGGTACAAACTCACATTTTATTTCATTTTATTTTCAAGCTCACTGCTGAATTTGCAAGTTTCATGTTAATAGTGGATGACAGAATCTCTAAAGTCCACCTTAAATAAACTGTGAATGTAAATCATATTCCAGAGCAGTGTGTCACACAAAGCACTTGTGTTGCTTCCCTGTTTCCGTCTCCCACAAAATATCTGCTGAATTAATCAAAAAGATTCACATCTTTGCTCTGAAGGCACCAAGTTGCTCTTCATAATGAGCAGCTTTATTACAGATTACATGTGAATGAAACAATCAATCAATATCTACATTTTCTGTCTCCTTACAGATCCACCTATGATACCCACCAGCAGTGTAAACCCACCACAAACCCGTAAGTGAACTGAGTCAGAAATATTCCCGTCTATATTACCATCTGGAATTACAGCTGTAGGTGGTACAAACCTACATTTTATTCATCCTCTGTGCCGGTGACAGCTGTGGCTGGAGGTATTATGTTTTCAGGTTGTCTCTCCGTCCCATTCTAGTTAATGTGATATTTCAGGACCACCTAGAGGGAATGTCTTCAAATGGGACAGAATTGACTTCTAATAAACTTATTAGAAGTTGGAGGTCAAAGGTCTCTCTCTCTCTTTCTGTCTCTCTGTCTGTCTCTCTCTCTCTGTGTGTGTGTGTCTCTCTCTCTCTCTCTCTGTCTCTCTGTCTCCCTCTCTATGTCTCTCTCTCTCTCTCTGTCTCTGTCAAAATTCAAACTAGCATGACAGGCAGGGCTCCAGTTACTTATTTAAGCAGTTGTCCAGTCAATGTTTGGATTGTGTTTCTCAACAACATAAGAGAACATGTCTGAACCAAAAGATGTGTCGTAGATAATAATTGGATCAGTCTATATTAAGGCTGTGAAAATGTGAGTGATAGTTGTGTTGAACCAGAACATTGTGAAGTCTGCAGATGACTGAGGAGATCTTTTCAGACAAGTGATTTCATGACATTTAATCTTTCTCTCTGCTGTATTACAGCATCTGGACTCAGGATTGTGTTGCTGGGAAAAAGCGAGGACAAACAGACAAAACTTGGTAATTTCATCTTTGGGAACGAAACTTTTCATCACCAAAGAACTTCCCCAACCAGGCAATGTATGGCTACCTGTGGAGAGTGGAGAGGAAAACCATTGACAGTGGTGAAAACTCCCAACATCTTCAGTCTGTCTGTGGAGGCCGTGAGAAGAGAGATGAAGAACTGTGTGACTCTGTGTCCTCCTGGACCAAATGTTCTTCTGCTGTTAGTGAAACCTTCTGATTTCACTGAGAAGAACAGACAAACACTGAAGTTCATCCTGGGTTTGTTTGGTCAAGATGCTTTAAAATACTCAATGGTCATCATGACACATGACGAGGATAAAAGTAATACTGTTAATGAAATCCTTATAGACTGTGGAGGAAGACACTACAACATGGTTGAAGACAACCACACATTGTTAATGCAGAAGATTGAGAACATTGTGCATGAAAACAAAGGAGCCTTCCTCACCTTCACTGAAGAGACCATAAGACCAAAGTCTGAACCCATCAAACCAGCTTTAAACCTGGTTCTGTGTGGGAGGAGAGGAGCAGGGAAGACTTCAGCAGCCGAGGCCATTTTAGGTCAGACAGAGTTTCATTCAGTCTCCAACTCATCAGAGTGTGTTAAACATCAGGGAGAGGTGTGTGGACGTTGGGTTTCCCTGGTGGAGCTGCCTGCCTTGTATGGAGAACCTCAGGAGGCAGTGATGGAAGAATCACTCAGGAGTATCTCCCTCTGTGATCCTGAGGGTGTCCATGCCTTCATCCTGGTCCTACCTGTGGGTCCCCTCACTGATGAAGACAAGGGAGAGTTAGAGACCATCCAGAACACATTCAGCTCTCGAGTCATTGACTTCACCATCATTCTGTTCACTGTGGACTCAGATCCTACAGCTCCAGCTGTTGTTAACTTTGTGAAAGAAAACAGAGACATCCAGGAGCTCCGTCAGAGCTGTGGAGGAAGATATGTTGTTCTCAACATCAAGGACAAGCAGCCGATCCCAGAACTGTTGGACATGGTGGAACAAAATACTAAAAATAAACCATACTGCTATACGACTGAAACATTTACACATGCACAAATGGATAAAGTCATACAACTTGAGAGGCTGATGAAGAAGAACAAGATCACTGGTAAGTACTTTGAATTTAAGTATTATTTTCTCTTCTCTGTAAAACATGTTACTGTGAAAATGTAAATGACCTCCTGGTCTTTATATATCACAGGTGATGAAAAGGAACGGAGTCCAGAGTGTCTCAGGATTGTGCTGATGGGGAAGACTGGCTGTGGAAAGAGCTCTTCAGGAAACACCATTCTAGGAAGAAAAGCGTTTACAGCCAAATTAAGCCAAACATCAGTCACTAAACACTGTCAGAAAGAACAGAGTGAAGTCGATGGTCGTCAGGTAGTTGTTGTCGACACTCCTGGTCTGTTTGACAATAGTTTGTCTCATGAAGAGGTTCATGGGGAGATGGTGAAATGCATCAGTCTTCTGGCTCCAGGACCACATGTCTTCCTGTTGGTGTTACACATTGGCAGATTTACACCAGAGGAGAAGGAGACATTAAAACTTATCAAGGAAGGATTTGGGCAAAATTCTGAAAAGTTTACCATCATTCTTTTAACTGGAGGAGATTCACTGGAAGATGAGGAGCTGTCGGTCGATGAGTACATTGAAAAAGAGTGTGATGATTCCTTTAAGAAGCTGATCTCTGACTGTGGAGGAAGATACCATGTGTTTAATAACCGAGATAAACACAACCGCACACAGGTCAGTGAGCTGATAACCAAGATTGACACCATGGTGAAGGAAAATGGAGGCAGCTGCTACACTAATGAGCTGCTGCAAGAGGCCGAAGCATCAATAGAGAAAGAAATGGAGAGAATCCTGAAGGAGAAGGAAGAAGAGATGAAGAGAGAGAGGGAGGAGCTTCAAAGAAAACATGAGGAAGAAATGGAAGAAATGAAAAGAAGAATGGAAGAACAGAAAGCAGAAATTGAAAAGGAGAGAAAACTGAGAGAAAAACAACTTGAAGAAAAGGAGGAAAACATCAAAAAAGAACGTGAGGAGAGAAAGAAACAGGAAATGAGAGAAGAAGAAGACAGGAAGAGAAAACAACAGGAAGAAATTCAACGACAGGAGTGGAAACAGAAAGTTGAAGATTTGGAGGAAAAAATAAAATCAGAGTCAGAATCAAAGGAAACCATTGATAGAAAGCTGGAAGAGACCAGAGAAGAGATGAGAAAAGAACGAGAGAACTGGGAGAAACAACAAAAAGAATGGTGGGAAAAACGAAATCAAGAAAATGAACAGAGACGACAGGATGCACAAAGAAGAATGAAAAAGCTTCAAGAAGAATACGAACAGGAAAGAGAAAACGATAGAAAGAAAAGAAAAGAAGAGGATCGAATCAGAAGAGAAAAAGAGGAAAAAGAGAAAAAAGACATTGAGAAGAACTATAAGAAAAAACTGGAGAATCTGAAGAAGACACATGAAGAAGAAGCCAGAGAGAAAGCTGAAGAGTTCAATGAATTCAAAGAGAAATACAAAAAGGAATCTGCAGCTCTGAAGGAAGAACATGAGAAACAAATGAAAGACAAAGATCAACAATATAACTTCTTAAAGGCTCTTAAAGACCACAGTGAAGAACAGATGAAGAAAAAATATCAAGAGGAAATTTGTGACTTAGTGAAATGTGTGACCAAAAAGAGAGAAAATCTGAAAAAAATCAATGACTTACTGACAGAACAAGAAGAAGAAATGAAGAATACGAAAAGTGAGGAGGAAAAGAAAAAATTGCTGCAAAAACATGAAAAAGAAATGAATGACTTGATACAGGAACTGATGAATGAAGATGATTCATGTTGTATTTTATGAGCAGATTTGTTCGATGTAAACGTCACAACAACAGATCAGTTTCAGAAGTTTCCTTTTTTTCTACTTTCATTTAGTTTCAATCAGTGAAACTTTACAGAAGGAAAGATTTCATAGTAATATTCAGCATTGAACAGAAACACAGCAGCAGTCACTGTGGGTCAGATGATACCAGTTCTTTGGAGTAATGTTATAGTCTTAGTTTTTACATTTTAATCATCAGTTTTTACATTATTTGTTTATTTTTATATCGACTTTTACTTTTTTGATGTTTTACATTTTATTGTTTCTGTTGTATTCATTGTTCATCATATAAAACTGTATCTATTGTTCACTTTTGTTTTTATGTGTTAACTAAATGACTAAGGACTAAATGTTGATTTCAGTCTGTTCTGTCTCGTGATAAATGAGGATTTAAACAGTTAAATAACTCACTGACTCTGTACAATCATTGGTGTGGTTTTGTTTTAAGTTTGTTTTCTATAAAGTTTTATAAAATCTGCATTATATTGTAGAAATAATGATAATGTATAAGTTGATTATTGTAATCAAGTTTCAGTGTGTAGAAAATCTTTATGATATGATGTATTTGTTCCTAATTATTAATGTAATTAATTAAAACCAGGCAACAGCTCAGTAAAGACTTCAGCAGCTGGAAGCTCTGTTTGGTCATTAGAGATGATCTTTGTTTTCTTTTGAATATGAGAAAGAAAATGATGTTTGTGAGTGAAATGAAATGTTTAGATGTCATTCACTCTGTTTTCTCTGCAACACCCAAATCACAAATATCACAGCAAATATTAAATATGAATCCAAGCTGAATATCATTTAAACTGCTCATCAGATGAATCAGAATGATAAAGAATGACTTCATAGACAATGAATGCTTTGATGTTTCTCTGTTTTGTTACATGTCCAATAAGAATAGATGCTTTATAACTGATGACATCAACTTAAGACAGAATTCAGATGAATCTTTAATTGTATGTTCTGTGTTTGATCTTTGGTTTCTGTGTTTATCATTATAAAAGATGAATAAAGTGTTTCCCTGTAGTTCACTGTGACTCTTGTTAAATGCTGAAGTCAAACAGACTCTTCTGCTCTGCACCTCTCTTGTGTGTTTGCATGTCAGTGTCTAGCAGATGGAGCTCCACCTTCAGGTGTCATATACCTGTTGGAAGTCTGTTGGTATCTGACTAATAATGAACTCTTTATTTTTCCCACCACAGTTAATGTTAATGCCTGTATCATCTGAAATGTGTCATAGAGTAGACCAACATGTACGTTGTATAAAGATATTGTACAATATTGTATAATGATGTAAAACATGGACACACTTTATCAGTTACACCTGCCTGGTTCAATGTTTGGACTTTTATCTCCAGAACAGTTAAAATAATTAAAAATATATTTTTAGATTCCTAATCAAGTCGATATGTCCATGTAACCAGAGGAGCATAAAGACATTTAATTTCACTGATAATAGAGTTTTAATGGTATTTGTGTAATAAAGAGAGACAACCTACACACTGACTTTAATGTGACAACATTTAGATCCTGTGTAAATCTTCCTCGGCTCAGTCTGTCAACATTTAATGTTAAAGTGTCACAGTCTACATTTTAGATAAGAGGAAGAACAGAAAGTATTTTACCTGACATTTTGTTTCCTCAATACACACCCTGTTCAGATATTTCAGTACTGAATACATACTGTGTGAATATGAGTTCAACTCAGAGACAAATGTTTGAAGAGATACTCATTTATCAGAGCTTTTTATTCTCAATTGTTTCTATTAGATTTTGACAAAGATATGTTTACTGTTTCATTAACATTTATATTAAAGCTGCCATTTCAGATTTCACAGGTTAAACAGAACCAGAAAGAGGAGTTATATCACTTTAATTAACATTACAATAAAGTCAAAGTTAACTCAAAGGTTTCCATTTTTATTTTCAACCCAGGCTGCAGATTGTTTTATGTTTTAAGTCCTCCATTTTATAAAAATCTTACAGAAAACAGGTTAGTTCACACAAACAAAGACAAACACACACATACAGTATTTTATGCAATAAGAGGACGCCACTGCCCAAACAGGTTTTTTGTTGTATTAGAGAGACACCGCTTGCTGAGTTTGAATGTTCAACTAATGTCTGTGTGGGTTTCTCCATAATCAAAGTATGTATTTTAGGTGAAGTCTCCAGTTAATATCATTGACTACAGAGGCCTGAACATTGCCACAACAGTGCTGACTTGGTTAGATATATGTATAAACTGTAAACACTGATAACAAGATGGTTCAATGATGGTTGTGAGCTGTGTGATGAACATTTGTGATCATATCTTTTTAATGTATTTAATATGTATTTTTAATATCAATAACAAATAGACTCAATCAAGAATCAATAACAACATATCTGCTGTCCACTAAAGAGTCCCAGGAAGAAACAACTTGATACTGAAGAAGGGTTTAATACAGAAAGACATACAGGATGACAAGATAAACAGATACATTAGAGCTCAGAGGTGTTTCAGTTGTTGCCCAATTTATCTTCCTGTCTCTAAACCCCCGATTTAAAAGAAAAACTCTTTATTTTTGGGGCTGAGAGGGTGATTTTGTAAATTGTCAGATTTTATGAATAGAATCTGGTTTTTATGTGATTTCCTCACAAAGCCAGAAACATAATGGAGAGTTTTCTGTCTGATTTATTGTTAAAGAATACAACAGCTGACATGAAGGAACATAAATGCACCTACAGCAGGCGGTATAAATAATGTGTGTTATTAATGTGCATCAGACTGTAATATACAGCATACTGTCAATGTTCAGACTACAACAGGCCCTCCTCCATACACTGCTCATAGGCTGACACCTGCTGGTGACTTTATGGAACTGCGGCTGACAGTTGACAAATGTGAAAATAAAGCACATTTTTATCACTTGAATATAAAAGCATGTTGACTGCAGAGTTGCAGTTTGCTGTAATATGATAGTAAAGACTCACAGTACAATACAGAACATATATGTAATACAGTACATATTATAAGAATACAATAGAAAATATAAAGACTATAATTAAAAATATATACACTATATGCAGTATGCAAGTAAAAGATGTGGTGTGCAAAAATATTTAAAACATCGGCCATAGCATCACACACATCACACATGTTTCCCAGGTAAGGGACGCCGATCATCCACAAGATGTAAAAGAAAGCGTGATTCACTATCTTCCAGTGCTCTGTTGTCCAGTGATGCTCCCGTGCCCATTGTAGACACTGTCAGCAGTGGACAGGGGTCAGCATGGGCACCCTGACTGGTCTGCAGCTACGCAGCCCCATACACAACAAACTGCTCTGTACTGTGTTCTGACACCTTTCTATCAGAACCAGCATTAACTGTTTCAGCAATTTGAACTACAGTAGCTCGTCTGTTGGATCGGACCACATCAAAAAATGCTGCATCAAAAAGTACCAAACACTGACTGTTTGTCAGGATGTGCTAGTGAATAGATGAACTTAAGAAATGAGAATGGAGCAGTGTCAAGCATCTGCAAAGGTCATTTCAGACTCTGAGAACTGAAATATTTCAAGAACATGACTTCTGTTCTATGACATCTGTAAAGATTTTGTAAAGGTTTAGACACTGTATTGGAGATGAAGGGTCAAGTACAGCTTTTTAAATTATTTTAGATATTAGAGTTGACCATCATAAATGTATTATTGCATAATGTATAACTGGATACTTTGTCAGTGCACCTGGTTGATTCAATATTTGTTAGTTTTATATGAACAATAGCAGTCCCAAAATCAGAGTTTAAGAATGATAACATACATAACTTTGTATATTATTTTATTGAAGCTCTGATGGAGATGTGTGCGCCGATTTAGTGTCCCATAAGTCTACATTACAACATTTTGATCCATCTTCCTTCAATCTGCCTTAAATTTGTACATACATATTAGAGTAATTACCACACTCAGATAACTGATATGCCAGCATATATTAAAAATATACAGAACATATGAATGTCAGTAGACATCAGGGAGTTGGGTTTCAAAAGTTGTGTTAAATTACTGGCACATAGGCTGAATTGTTTCTTTAAAGATTGCTCTGTTTCTAGATGAGTGTTACAGAGAGTGTGATTCAGACACAGTTTGTTCTTTTTCTTTTCATACTGAAACATGCAAACATGTTCTGAGCCAATTCTTTTCTTTCACTTTCATCATCTTGGACTGATGACGCAGCACAAAATCCAGCAGGTGATTAACCCCTTAACTGCTAAAATTAAACTCAAACAGTTCATGAATTATATTCTAATGTTCATTAGCCCACACAGCCCACGACTCTAAAGTGAAATCAGTAATTGGAAACAGACCACTGTTGATGCTCAGGTGAGTGTCTACTGTACAGATCAGATTTGGATTGAGAGCTTTTCATTATCACTGTAGATTCACCACTGGCCTGTAGATGAACACAATAACAATCATACAGATATTTTAAATATTACAACTGTTAAATAATATTAAAATGTTTGTTGTTTTGTTTTTTGATGATTGACAGTTGAGGAAGAGGATGTGCCTGCTTCAGGGGGCAGCCACTAGGAGACTGCTTAAAGGGTGTGGATGAAAGGTTGGTATGTGTCCAAACTGCTGAGGCTCGTATTTTATTAGTCAAATGACTGTAGAGACAGAGAGGACACATCAGGAGACCTGTACCAGGTAAGAGAGAGACAACATGTATGTGTGGGTGTATAAGAGACAGAGGACATATATTATTAGCACATACATAAGATTATTTAAACCTAACCTTTAAACCACAAACTACAGCTGGGAGGGTTGTTATGTTTGTATGACAGAGACCAGATAAAGCCTGTTCAACTGTTATTCTATTTTTAGTGGCTCCTTGGTCCTTCATTACTTTACTTCGGGGAAACGGTGGACCTATTCCCTGAACTGATTAGAATTTGTGCCAAAAAACTGCAATTGAAGGCAAAAAAGTCATCAATTTTGGAAATCCCAAACAACTGTCAGTATTCTTAAATGAGCATCTACCATCTTTTTCTCAAAGCTGATTGATCTGTGATCTTACAAAAAATCTGATATAACACTGAGCTGAGGGCAGACTACCAAAATGTTACTTAAACCACACGTGAAAAAGATTTGAAACATATTTTGAAGTAAGTTTGACTCTGATGAGTTGGAGACTGAATGAAACTCTGTCTGACCTAAAATGGCCTCGGCTGCTGAAGTCTTCCCTGCTCCTCTCCTCCCACACAGAACCAGGTTTAAAGCTGGTTTGATGAGTTCAGACTTTGGTGTTATGTGAAGTAAAGTCAGAATATGAAGCCATTATTGTCTCACAAATGTGAGTGGAGAGTTGTGTAACTGTACACTGTGACAATAGATCCTCCTCAATGTTTCACACTGGACCTTTAAGTAAGTGTAAAGTTAATGTCTTTGGACAAACAGTGAATACTTACTTGTGTCAGTGTTGCTGCTCTGTGTCACCAACTGTCCTGTAACATGTCAACATCATCATCATCATCATCATCATCATCATCATCACCATCATCATTATCAGAGAATGAAAACATCAACATACAGGTTATAGCTCAGTTCAGGTTGAGTTGTATTTGGGCAAACCAGTGATTTTGTGTTTGTACTCTGGTAAAGCAGATTAGGGGTAAAATTTCTGCTTTTCACTTGTAAAAATATTTTCATGATGTAGGATGTAGACTTTTGCTATTTTATTACCAATTATTACAATTATTGCCAAATAAAATGTAATCAATAAAACAGTTAAAGTATAGGTATAATATAAATCTGTATATCTGTATATAGTTATAGTAAAAATGCTATTCATTAAACACGATACAAGGAGTAGATGAATAAAAACAAGAAGAAACTACTAGCAAACAGAAAATGTGTGTGTGTCTGTGTGTTCCATATGTATACCAAGATATTGATTAGTCACATTCAGCACATTATTTTAATATCTCAGTGGGCGACATACAGTCACAGTCTCTCTCTCTCTCTCTCTCTCTCTCTCTCTCTCTCTCTCTGTAGATGGTGTGGACGAGCAGTGTGATCTAAAACCGTTATAAAATAGATTTTCATGAGCCTAAAAAACGTGTTTTAACATTTTGATGTTCAAATGTTAAAACAGATAATATGGACAACATGTGTCTGAAATAAAGTTCAATAAAATTGGAGAAACACTGAAGTTTCTTGAAAAGTGCATTAATGTAACTTTAATGAGAGTTTCTTCTTCCTGCTTCTGTTGAGGCACTGATCATCTAAAATGGCGGATTGATATCGACTCGATATCGAACAATAAAAAACGTAAACTTTAATTATTTGTTAGTTTAAATCAGTGTGAAAATACGTCCTTTAAATAAAAACCAGTAAATCATCAGTTCTCTTTCCGACTGTTTGTTCCGCATTATCAAAGTAAAGTGAGTGTGTGTGCGGTTTATTCTGTCAGATTAATGAGTGAGTGAATAAAATGTGTTCAGATCAGTGAGTGAGGTTACTGTGATAATAACAATATATATAATAACAATATGAACAGAGTGCATTGAGCTGCTGGGTTCACTGGATCACTTCTATTAATGTGCTTTTAGTCGTTTACTCACCAGCTGAAACTTCTGCTGCGGATCAGAGAGATCAACCTGAGGACTGAAGCTAAAGTGAAAGTTAACAAACAGTTTTCAGATGTGTTTCAAACGTTGAGAGAGAATCAGTGTGCCCAAGAATGGAAAAATGTCTGCTGCATAAACTATTTTTACACGATTCTTATTTTACCATTAGACCTACAGCGTTATTCTTCTTAAACATTTAGTTTCTTCTCATTTACACTTTAATTGACATGTTTTATTTAAACGTAATATTCTAATATCGGTAAATTCAGGTTATTAAAAAGTCTTCCTCACTATCACCATGACAACCTCTCCTCAGAATATCTGCAGAAAAACGGATTCATTCACATTCAAAGGTCATTTCTTTCTCTCTTTATTGCTCATAAAACATAAAACCTGAACTTCATCAGTCTGTAAATACACCTTGTGCTCTATGTTTCAGCCTGTTTATGACTGATTATGATTTTTTATAATTATGACAAATCACTGCAGATAATGTTTCTGTTCCAGCGTACAGCCGATAGCTGATAACACAACTAAAGGTCATTAATCCATATTTAACATTAATATCTAATATTACATTTAAGTCCGTTCACAACCACAAACACCCTCAATCCTTTCACAAGGTTTAAATTATTCAAATGACTCATTAACAAAATAAAAAGATAATAAATGAAATGATAAAACTACAACAAGCCGCTTTCTGTGAAGCTCCTTTCATCAGTGGCTGATGTTACAGCGCCACCTGCTGGACGTGGAGACAATGTCAGACAATGGCTCCCCTGTGCACACCTGTTGCAGACAAAAAGTCCAACTTGACTTGTATAAATGTGAAATATAGGTGTAGTGCATTACACATTTTATACAAATACATTTTAAATTATGCACATTTTTGGACTCTTACAATAAATAACTTTTAAATAATGACATGGGAGTGAAATGGTCTCTTTGTCTCTCCTGTGATATTTGTGATTCTGATCAAATTGTAGATTTTTTATTTTTCTGAGAATGTTCCCACAATATAACTCAAATTAAAAAACATAATGCTGATAATAAAGATTAAATGACCAAATACTGTCAGTTTATTAGCTTCATCAGATATTTCCCACTCACTTTTATCACGCAGAGTTCTACATGATTGAAGATGAATAAAACAAAGTCAGATCCAGATTTACAAAGAATTGACAGTTAAAGCTGCAGTATAGAAAAATAACTTTTTGTATTTGATGACCAAGAAATGAGACTTAATAATCTTTTAGACTTGGTGGATTCTTGTAAATACCTTTATGAACACTATGAGGAGCCGGAGGAACCTGATCTTTCCAGAGATTATCTGTCTCATGTTCTACTGTCACTCAGGATAGTGATGATGTAACAGTGACCTGTTGCCACAGTTGATGGCTTTTAATTGGACAGTGCAACAGATGTTTCCTAGTAACCAATTTACTAAAGGCTTATACTATACTATTTTATTGCTGCAACCTGATTTAGTAAATAACCAGTCTGAAACTAGCTAGTAGTTACTAAGAACACAGGAAGGATTCAGACTCAAACTCAGTGAAGAACTTATGAAGCTGGTGCAACCAGAACATCTACTGAATGGACCTTGTGGCGAGGTTGTTTGTCAGTGGATGTTAACTAGTGACAGTAAGGTGTGAAAGCATCTTTGAATCATATAATGTTCACAAAGTCTAAACACCTGAGAGCAAACTGTATAAAACCTCAGTAAAACTGCATCAGTACAGAGAACAGTGGACAGCAGTAAACCTCACTGAAAGTCATTATAACTTAACCCCCCCAACGACAACACATGAACAAAGCCATCTGATGAAGTTTGACTTCAGCATTTAACAAGAGTCACAGTGAACTACAGGGAAACACTTTATTCATCTTTTATAATGATAAACACAGAAACCAAAGATCAAACACAGAACATACAATTAAAGATTCATCTGAATTCTGTCTTAAGTTGATGTCATCAGTTATAAAGCATCTATTCTTATTGGACATGTAACAAAGAAATCCTGTATGTTATAAATTGAACTATTATTTTCAGCAACCAGTGAATAGACCAGAGGTTTGATAATTGTACAGAGTCAGTGAGTTATTAACTGTTTAAATCCTCATTTATCACGAGACAGAACAGACTGAAATCAACATTTTGTCATTTAAAGAATCCAACTCAAACATCCAGAAATCTCTCAGACTGAACACTGGAGCTGAGCCAGAGGGAGATATTATCAGATGCTCTTATTGACTTCACAGAACAAACTGAAACAACACATAAAAACAAAAATGAACAATAGATACAGTTTTTATACGATGAACAATGAATACAACAGAAACAATAAAATGTAAAACATCAAAAAAGTAAAAGTCGCTATATAAAAATAAACACCAGGGAGACAAATAATGTAAAAACTGATGATTAAAATGTAAAAACTAAGACTATAACATTACTCCAAAGAACTGGTATCATCTGACCCACAGTGACTGCTGCTGTGTTTCTGTTCAATGTTGAAATCATTCACTTCAGTTGTGAATCTCTTCAATAAAGTTGTAATCAGTCAAAGCTCGTCTGAGATCAGCTGTGAGGTTTCTGCACCTCCACATCAACATGATCACAGTCTGAGACAAACATGGAAAGATTCTTTATATTCATTACTATGGTTAGCATCACTACTGTTGCTATGGTAACCTGCTGATGAATATTGTACAGGCTGCTGATTCAGACACCAGACAGCCAATGAGAAGTATTTGTCCTAATTGAAACCAAACAAGTTCTTTAGAATTGTCCAAAATGACTTTTCATTCAGAAGTTTCTGAATCAACTTATTCATTTCTTCTTCATGCTTTTGCAGAAGCTCCTTTTCCTCCTCAGTTTTCACATTATTCATTTCCTGTTCATGTTTCGTCAGTAAGTCTTGGATTTTTTCCAGATTTTTTTTCTTGTTGGTCACACATTTCACTATGTTACAAATTTCACCTTGATATTTTTTCCTCATTTTGTCTTCATTGTGGACTTTAAGAGCCTCTAAGATATTATATTGTTGATCTTTGTCTTTCATTTGTTTCTCATGTTCTTCCTTCAGAGCTGCAGATTCCTTTTTGTATTTCTCTTTGAATTCATTGAACTCTTCAGCTTTCTTTCTGGCTTCTTCTTCATGTGTCTTCTTCATTTCCTCCAGTTTTTTCTTATAGTTCTCCTCAATGTCTTTTTTCTCTTTTTCCTCATGTTCTCTTCTAATTCGATCCTCTTCTTCTCTTTTCTTTCTATCATTTTCTCTTTCCTGTTCGTATTCTTCTTGAAGCTTTTTCAGTTTTGTTTCTTCCTCCTGTCGTCTCTTCATTTTCTTCAAATCGTTCTTTCCACCATTCTTTTTGTTGTTTCTCCCATTTCTCTTGTTCTTTTCTCATCTCTTCTCTGCTCTCCTCCAGCTTTCTATCAATGGTTTTCTTTGATTCTGACTCCGATTTGATTTTTTCCTCCAAAGCTTCAACTTTCTGTTTCCACTCCTGTCGTTGAATTTCTTCCTGTTGTTTTCTCTTCCTGTCTTCTTCTTCTTCTCTCATTTCCTGTTCTTTTTTTCTCTCCTCATGTTCTTTTCTGATGTTTTCCTCCTTTTCTTCAAGTTGTTTTTCTCTCAGTTTTCTCTCCTTTTCAATTTCTGATCTCTGTTCTTCCATTCTTCTTTTCATTTCTTCCATTTTGTCCTCATGTTTTCTTTGAAGCTCCTCCCTCTCTCTCTTCATCTCTTCTTCCTTCTCCTTCAGGATTCTCTCCATTTCTTTCTTTATTGATGCTTCAGCCTCTTGCAGCAGCTCATTAGTGTAGCAGCTGCCTCCATTTTCCTTCACCATGTTGTCAATCTTGGTTATCAGCTCACTGACCTGTGTGCGGTTGTGTTTATCATAGTTATTAAACACATGGTATCTTCCTCCGCAGTCAGAGATCAGCTTCTTAAAGGAATCATCACACTTCTTTTCAATGTATTCTTCAATGGATATCTCGTCATTTTCCAGTGTATCTCCTCTTGTGAAAAGAATGATGGTGAACTTCTCAGAATTCTTCCCAAATCCTTCCTTGATGAGTTTTAATGTCTCCTTCTCCTCTGGTGTTAATCTGCCAATTTGTAACACCAACAGGAAGACATGTGGTCCTGGAGCCAGAAGACTGATGCATTTCACCATCTCCTCATGAACTTCTTCATGAGACAAACTATTGTCAAACAGACCAGGAGTGTCGACCACAACCACCTGACGACCATCAACTTCACTCTGTTCTTTCTGACAGTGTTTAGTGACTGATGTTTGACTCGAATCAGCTTTAAACCCTTTTCTTCCTAGAATGGTGTTTCCTGATGAGCTCTTTCCACAGCCAGTCTTCCCTATCAGCACAATCCTGAGACACTCTGGGTTCCGTTCTTCATCATCACCTGTGAAATATAAAGACCAGGAGTTAATTTAAATATTCAAAGTTGTTACAGTATAAACTAAGACTGAAATGTAGGACATAATTATTTAAATAAAATATTTAAATCAAACTACCCACCAGTGATCCTGTTCTTCTTTATCAGCCTCTCAAGTTGTATGACTTTATCCATTTGTGCATGTGCAAATGTTTCAGTCGTATAGCAGTGTGGTTTATTTTTAGTATTTTTTTCCACCATGTCCAACAGTTCTGGGATCTGCTGTTTGTCCTTGATGTTGAGAACAACATATCTTCCTCCACAGTTCTGACAGAGCTCCTGGATATCCTTGTTTTCTTTCACAAAGTTAACAACAGCTGGAGCTGTAGGATCTGAGTCCACAGTGAACAGAATCATGGTGAAGTAATTAACTCGAGAGCTGAATGTGTTCTGGATGGTCTTTAACTCTCCCTTGTCTTCATCAGTGAGGGGACCCACAGGTAGGACCAGGATGAAGGCATGGACGCCCTCAGGATCACAGAGGGAGATATTCCTGAGTGATTCCTCCATCACTGCCTCCTGAGGTTTTCCATACAAGGCAGGCAGCTCCACCAGGGAAACCCAACGTCCACACACCTCTCCCTGATGTTTAACACACTCTGATGAGTTGGAGACTGAATGAAACTCTGTCTGACCTAAAATAGCCTTGGCTGCTGAAGTCTTCCCTGCTCCTCTCCTCCCACACAGAACCAGGTTTAAAGCTGGTTTGATGAGTTCAGACTTTGGTCTTATGGTCTCTTCAGTGAGGGTGAGGAAGGTTCCTTTGTTTTCATGCACAATGTTCTCAATCTTCTGCATTAACAATGTGTGGTTGTCTTCAACCATGTTGTTTTGTCTTCCTCCACAGTCTGTAAGAAGCTGATTCAGACTGTCACTTGTTTTATTCCCCTCATGTGTCATGATGACCATTGAGTGTTTTAAAGCATCTTGACCAAACAAACTCAGGATGAACTTCAGTGTTTGTCTGTTCCCCTCAGTGAAATCAGAAGGTTTCACTAACAGCAGAAGAACATTTGGTCCAGGAGAACACAGAGTCACACAGTTCTTCATCTCTCTTTTTATGGCCTCCTCAGACAGACTGAACATGTTTGGAGTTTTTACCACTATTAATGGTTTTCCTCTCCATTCTCCATTGGCTATCACACAGCGGATTGAGGAAACTTTCTGGTGACGAATAGTTTGGTTCCCAATGATGAAATTACCAAGTTTTATCTGTTTGTCCTCACTTTTTCCCAGCAGCACAATCCTGAGTCCAGATGCTGTAATACAATAGAAAGATAAAATGTCATAAACTCACTGTAAGGCTGAAATCACTTGTCTGACACAAGGAGATCTCTTCAGTCATCTTCACACTTGACAATGACAATTGACAACCACTCAATCCGTTTGTGGATTGAAGAGTGACACACACACCAGCATGTACCAATAGCTGGATAATTTAAGAAAAAGCAGCATCAGATTTCCCTGAAAATGTATTTTGCAAATTCAAAGTAGCAAAATATGAATGTAACAGATAAATACAGATACAAGGTACCTATTGAGATAAAGGTACTAACATCTAATTATTTAAAATAAATGTATTTCAATTAAGTGAAGATTAAGTGATTGTTGGATGTGTAAAAAACTGCTAAAAATCTATCTACAGATATGTGATTAGCACTGTGATGAATTTACTTACTGTCAGTCACTGTTCTCAAAGGGATTGCAGATTTTGCCATATGCAGCCCTGTAAAAATGATTTGTCATGTGATTAATTAGCTGGTTAATTGTTCACTATCAGAATAGTTACACTTACCAGCAGATATAACAGTATATGTAGAAGTCTGAGTTTCCTTTTGTTTTGGACTTTGATGATCACCTGGTGAAGTTGCTGTTGGGTCCTCAAATACATCACAGCTGACATATTCTCCATTATTCTCCTTCACAATTTGAACCAAGCGTGTTAACAGCTCTGAACGTTCTAGGTTCTTCTCCTTCAAATATCTGTATCTACATTTTCTGATCATGTATTTTAATAGAGGACGTTCCAGATATTTTTCCATCAACCCTGGACTCTCCTCTCTGGGTGTTGATATCAGAACCAGAGAATGATCAAATGATTGATCACTGAAGAGTTCAAGGATTGATTGTAGTCTCAGTTTGTGTTCCTCGGTGAAGTCTTCAGGCTGTAGAACCAGCAGGAACACATGAGGTCCAGGATCAGAGAGTCTCACACAGTTTTCCACATGTTCTGTCAGTTTGTGTTCAGAGATGTTGGGATGCAGCAGATCTGGAGTGTTGATGAGAACTATTTCTTTCTTCTTTAACTGTCCTCTGACTGTCAGAAAGTCTGGTTCTTCCTCAGTGTTGAACTTAGTCTCTCCCAGTATGAAGTTCCCCACTGAACTCCTCTCAGACCAGCTGTTCCCCAGCAGAACAACCCTCAGCTCAGACACTGAAAAGAAAACAGTGAATTAGAAAAAGCTTCTCAGTGTAGACCTCATCCAAAGTCAATAACATTGTATTTATTAGTATTAAATAGCCAATTATAACCAGCTTTTTAAAGGTGGAATTCAGTGAATGTGTCACTGTCATCATGAAACAAACAAATTCACCAATGAGCTTCAAATAGAATAAAATGTGAGTTTGTACCCTCAACCAACAAACACTGTAATTAGATGTTAATGTACAGAATAATAATTGACTCAGTTTAACTCACTGTCAGGTGGCAGCCATTGTAAGCTGCTGCTCCGTTTCAGTGGTTGCAGATCATCTGTCACTGTAAAGATACAGAACACTGATTCATTCACATGTAATCTTTAACTACTGGGAGGACATATTGCTGATTATCAATTATCATCAGTGTCAACTTCACTGTTAGTCCCTGAGCAGAGTCTTAGTCGACCAACTTTTTATTGGTCGGATAGTCACAGAAAAACAAAAACAATGTTGCCACAGGGACCATAGTATCAGAGGACCTTTTCTTTATTGTAACACAGGAAGTCACTTTCCAGTGCATCTACTGTCAATGTGTTGCATATGCTAGCTGCTGCCAATACATAGTTAGTGGTCATATTAGCTTGCTTCCTTTGAGCTCAAAGGACAGGGGGAGCAGGGACCCAGCAGGGAATGCTCCTAAGGAGCAGGACCAACCAACAGAGACCAGCTGATTCCCAGCGGCTCCGACCAGGACTCTGACTCTGGGGATGAAGACCCGGCGGGTTCAGGCAGCAACAGAGGAATGAAACGGAGGAAGAGGAGCCGGTGTGTAGTCAGTTAATTAGTCAGTAACTGTTAATGTTATCCATCATCCATCGTATCGATCAGTCCAACAGGATTAGTTTCAGTGAAGTTGGAAGGTATTTATTCTGTGTGTTGAACAACCAGACTGTGTGATGTTACACTGTGTTGGAATAAATGAAGTAAAGGTTCAGTCTCCTTGCTGCTTGTTCTGACACATTCACAATCATTACCGCTGTTAGTGTTAGCATCTAATAGGATGCCATCCACATTATAATCAATCAATCTCTGGGAAACATATAAATATTTTATCCCAGAATTCTGATAGCTTAGGAAATGATCAGAATTGATTATACAAGGTGGCAGATTCAGATACAGAAATACTATTCTTACCCTGAACCAAGGAACACAATACTTTATATTTATTTTAATTAAATGACACAGGGCTTTAAAAGATACAAATAGTTCACACAACATAAAGTGTAGTCAACTAATTATTGACTCAAATCAGAACACCTATACCTTAGTAATGAGGATGATGGGAATTTAAGTTACAAAATGTGACACGTTTTCCTTTAAGTATTTTGTTTGTGGAAATTGTGTCATTAACAGATTCAACATGAACAAATGATAGAAATTGAAAGTCTGTGAAACAACACATTTGAGTGTGATCATAAATCATGCTGGAAAACACCATCAGTCTTGAAATAAATAATAATAAATAAAATTAGCTGCACAAGATCTGCTTCCTCTGTATATTCTGTGCTGCTCAGTTCTTGTTCCACACATCAGCTACAGAGTAGAAATATAGAGAAACCCAAACCAATCCAGTTATTATAATACAAAGATCAGAGAGCAAACTGATGAACATTTCATGATCTGATTGATTATAGTGTTGTACAAATATTCCTGGCCTCGGCCCTGGTCAGCGGACAACACGAGTATCGGGAGCGCAGCATGTTGTGCCTGACTGAGACATGGCTGAATGGGAATAAACCACTAGCCGGCTTCTCGCTAGTTCGGGCAGATAGGAATAAACAGAGTGGTGAGAAGTTGGGAGGAGGGCTTGCTGTCTTTGTTAACTCCAAATGGTGTAACTCAGGACATATTACCACAAAGGCAACAATGTGCACCCCTGATATTGAACTGCTAGTCATCGGGTTGAGGCCATACTATCTGCCCCGGGAGTTTTCGGCCTGCCGTTGTTGTCACTGTTTTACATTCCTCCATTGGAATGTCGTGGACCTGCAGACACGTCATCCCAGCACACTCATAACAATAAATGGAGATTTTAATCTTGCTGAAATCTCAAACACCCTGACCAACTTCACCCAGTACGTGACAAACCAGAGGGGATAAGATCTACTGTATGCCAAAGGAAGCATACAGCGGCACCAGGCAAGAGGCCTCCCTCCCCAGTTGCAATAAGGGGGGAGAAGGTAGAGCTGGTGGACACCTACAGCTCGGTGGTGGGGATGGAGCTGGACAGTGTGGAGGCTGTGACTGAGAGGAGGATGAGAGGGAAGCTGAAAGCCATCATGGACAACCCCTTTAAGTTTTAACTTTAACCTGCTTTGCACTGCTCTTGCACAAACTATAACTTTTAATAATTTGCACATGTACACTTTAGTTAACTCTGTTTGAATATGTTTGCACTCCATATCTCTTACTTGCATACTGCAGATAGTGTATATATTTTTTTCACTACATTCCCCTATGCTGCTCCTTTTTATATAAATAAATACAATTTGCTACCACCAAATATTTAGCAATCACTCAGTTAGCACACTAGTGTAAATTACATCACAGTTAACAGCAAGACCACGGGAATGTTACTATGGTAACAAATGTTATAATAATGAACCCACAACCTTTTCAGTGGATATGGAGGCCGGGACTTTAAGTGCAGGAATAAATAATAATGAGAATAATAAAGTCTGATTGAACTCACTTGGTGCTGCAGCCGCCGCCATGATGTCACTCATGGAAAATCTGAAGAGAGGAAGTAAAATTGTATTAAACAGACACACACACACACACACACACACACACCAAAGCCTTCAACACAAAGCATCTTTGTATAAAACTACAGTTTGACACAAAATGTGACTGTTTACACACCATACATACTACATATTAATAATTAGAGAGTCGACCTTAAGAATGCGTATCAGTCTGATCTAGGCACATGCTGAAGGGTCGGTACAGCTCTGTTCAGCTCTGTCTCATCCAGATGTTTCCCTTGCTTCTATTTAGTGGAGGTAGGAAATTAACCAGACGTACATTTACAATGTTTTCATTTAGTCTTTATCCCTGCAGTCGAATTCCTTGTGTCCAAACACACTTAGACAATAATGCACGTTTTTATTACCTTTAGGATGGACTACAGTAATGCTCTACTTTCTGGCCTCCCCAAGAAGAGTTTAGCTCAATCAAACCTCAGCTGCACGAGTGTCGACGAGGACCAGAAGGAGAGCTCACATTACACCAATCCTTAAGTCTCTACATCGGCTGCCTGTTTGCTTCAGAATCAATTTCAAGGTCCTTTTATTGGTTTCTAAAGCTCTTAATGGTGCCCTCAGATTTAGTGGCCTTTTTATCATCCCCAAAGTCAGAACCAAGACCCACACTGAAGCATCTTCTTATCACTATAGTCCTCGTCTCTGGAACAGCCTTCCTGAAGACCTGAGGGCCTTTCCTCAGTGTTTCACAAAAGTGCACACGCATTTGTGTATTTTGTTTGTATGAAAATACAAATAAAATAATTAGATTCACTGATAAAGCTGATTATGGTTCTTAATAAAATAAAATAATAATAATCCTAACAAATAAACCTATGTATAGGTATATATTTTAACCTATATGAAAATATTTTGCAAACCCCAATCAAAATGTCTGTGATGGAAAAAGGCAGAATGCCTAGGCTGCTGCATATTTACACTATAAAAAAACATTTTACTTCCTCCTCCTCTCATGGTCTGTAAAATGGCGTCTCCTCCCTTCGACCTAAAAGTTTCTAGAAACTTTATCCCCAGTGTGTCAGTAAATCTCCTCATTCCAGAGAGATTGTGCAGATTAAACACTGAAAACATATGAGGAGCTCTCGGTTGAGCCCAGAACACACAGACCTGATCGATCATTAATTATTAACTAGTTTTACTGCAGTTCACTCACCTGCTGGATTTCTTGCTGCTGCACAACCATCAGTGAAAGTGAAAGTTAAAAACACTCACTGTAGTCAAACAGGTAGAGGCACTCCCTGGTACGTAACGTAGACACTGCGTCTGCGCGGTCGCCATATTGAGGAGGTCAATATTCAGACCTCACTACAAAATCAGTCAGTTTATACTGTGGGTGGACTGACACTTGATGGTTATTAATTACTGACAGATGTACACCCACTGGCCAGCTAATCAATATTTAATCAATAGGGTAAAGAGACTAAGGTGCACAACAACAGTTGATCTCTTTTCCTAGTTCCTGTCCGTATTTAAAGGCTTACAGGTCACATGGTTTCACAGCAACCTCCATCAATTTCATTGGACAGTATCTGAGTATGTCAGGAGCCAATCAGCTAATAATTGGTATATTGGCTCCTTTAGTTTTCTACTAGTTCATGTGTGAGTGTGGATGTGTTCAACAGTTGTCTTGCTGGCTGTATAGGAGGTTATGTGTGTCACTGAATATGTAAGCATGCTTTATTTGTGCCTTCCCTTTAAACATTGGTTGAATAAATATTTAATGAATTAATGTGTTATTTGACTCTCCATGTGGCCAGCAGACAGTGCCAGTAGGAGGTCTAAGTAATCTGTAACTTTAAACATGCCACGTTCTCACTGTAATGTGGAATTAACATGTGCTACTAGTTAAATAATTATTTATATAATATATTTAATTATCATTATTCTTTTGTGACAATTTGAGATAATTATGACTTAATCCTTAGTTAATACTACAAACAGAGCTCTTTTAGTTACTGTAACTATCTTATATTGCATTAATAGCAGAATTTACAGGACTGTGTAGGGTTGTTTATTTTAAAACATTTGTTTGTTATAATTTAAGAAATAAATGAATTGGTATATCCAACTTTTGGCAGTTTTCTTTTTACTCATGAGGACAATAAGCAAGCAACGAGCACCAGTACTGAACAGACCAAAGTCTCAGATCAGCTGTGGAAGACACACAGAGACAGAGAACTGCACTGTCCTGGTATGTGGGGCTCTACAAGCTATAATTCATTGTGGCCCTCTGTGCGAGTATAGTGTGGTGTTTTGTTTTGCCTCTGCCCTGCTCTCTGAGGTCCCTGCTCCAGGTACTGGTAATAGTTCATCAGTCAGTCCAACCAGCTTTAAAACAAAGACAGCAGCCAGCAGACGAGGCCTGTGGGCCAAACCACGAAACAGTGTATTGCTCCTCTCACCCCTGGATTTTATATCTGAGGTTGTAACAATTAATAAGA